ACTGTGAAAATTACTATTGGTCATGCCTTGATTTTAAAAACTTTACAACTCACTTGAGCAAGCTTCCCCTACACTCCTTGTACTGAGGGGCTTTTCGTTGTTATCATTGGAATTAAACCTGGGTATTCCAAGCTTGCTCCAAGACCAAAGAGAAACGTTCTACTAGCCCTCACTATTAGCTCCAACTCGCTTCCTGAGCAAACCTAGCTCTGAGAGGAAGGAAACTGGGAGTTGAAACAAAGGGAACCTGTACAACTTACCCTGAAGTGTCCCAAAGCATGCTCTCAAGCCTAATTTCTCTCCATTCTACAGTGACTCCTACCTACTTTCAGAGCCCTCCCTTCGGTAGGTTGAGCTTGCTTTGGGAAATAAGAAAGACACTTGGCAGAGATGAGCTCGATACAAACCAGGTGCAAACTTCAGGGAGAATTTGGGTCACACTGAGAGTACCATTTCTAAACTTTCCCAGTCGCAACTACGCTATTAATTTACACCTAATGGTCCGTTTGTAACATTTCCTATTCCTATATACTGTACCCTATTGCTGACTGGAAAAAAAAAACCCTACTTGCTATGCAATAAACATGCAAGTCAACTGCTCGGCTAACTGTGACGGGCACGACTATGAACTAATTGTCAGACATACAAAAAATGATCCTTCAACTTTTAGACATTCCAGATTTTTTCACAATAGTCTGTGGAAGCATTTATGAATGACTGAATGTAATGTAAGTTCTTTACTTCCTGATAACACATACTGGAATGGTTTAATTGCGGCTTTCTTTTTGTTAAAACAGAGCAACTTCCCACCAATCTCGCAAAAGCTTGGGGAGCAGTAAAGTCTGAGTCAGACCTTAGTTTTACAACTTGTTGTTTAGGGATTAACAGGCACAAAACTCAGGACATGTGTGAGAAAACAGATAAGCCACATGCAGTATTATTACAATGAAAGAAATATAGTTGAGTGTTTACTGGTCTGGTTAACTGGACTCCCAGGGAACCATTTACTTGTCCTGGCAGTTGACCATAGTAGATAACAACCATGTACTAAATGAGAACAGTAAGTGACAAATGTGTTAAAAACATTAAATTCCTTGGGATGTCTTTCCAGATGGACCTTGAAATGTATAACTTCAAAAAATTTCAGTTTTTCAGGGGAAAAACTTTTTTTGGGGGGAGGGAATATGGAAATTTTCAGAAAATTTACATTTCTGGATGGACCTCATATATTGCACACAGACTTAAATATCCAGCCCAAAATCTGTCACACAGGAATACAATTGCTGTGTGCTTATAGCTGAGTTTTCCTCAGTACAGCCCAAATGGTCAAAGATTAAGTCACCTCTCAACTTCTGATTTCTCTAAGGTTATTCCTGTGAGCACTTTTCTTCCATAGTTTTAGGCCTATTCACTGATATTACATGTTAAAGCACAGACAAAAACTTTGCTACATTAGCTGACCTTATTTCTAAGACCCACTGACAACTGTTAGTACCCTCACCATACCAAGAAACAAAAGAGGCACTGTTGGTTACTACACCAGCAATAGTTGGACTTCAGTTTCATCTGTGCGAGAATATATGTAGTTTAGGCGCTTGAATGCACACAGAAGAAGAGTGTAGAACCTGGCAGTTTACCCAATTAAATAATAATAATTAAAATAACCACAAACACCCAAAGTGATGGTTATTTAAAAAACTTGTATAGGCCAGCCTTCATTCCTGAATCCAGAAGCATCATGAATATATATAGAGACAGACAGATATATTTTTTTAAAATCTCACCTGCTTGTGCAATTAAAGCAGGCAATACATTCTTCATATAGTTGCTGTTCCTTCCCACTGCTTTTGTGGGAAAACGAAACACTGCTCTAACTCAAAGCAGAACAGAGAGATTTAAAGAGGGCCTGGTTAAGAGTATTTGAGGCCAAATCTCTTTGTTTCCAATGAGACTGGTCCTATTCAGGCAATCTTATCCAATAATGAACGGACCACCCCTCCATGCCTGCCACCCACAATGTTTTTAGAAGGAGGGTGATCCAAACCCATTTTAATATGAAATCTACCAGAGATCAACAGCTCTACCTATGAAAGAAATTCTTGACATACAAGGTGTCGTACAATTCATTATTGCTACGACATAAGCACAAAGTAAGTTTTTTTTTGTCTGTTGCCATTTAAGCCAAAATCTCAAAAAGAGAGAGAGAGAGTGAAAGAGGACATTAACTGTTGTGCACATCACCCAATGCAATCCTGAACACATTCACCTTCAGAGGAGAAGTCCTACTGATTCCCAAGGAACTCTCTTACCAAGTAACTCTCTTAACAAGTAGTTAGCATAGAGTCCCACAGTTGGGGTAGTCTGGGAAGAAAGAGCAGAGAAAGATTTGGAAGCCTTATTGGTAGCCCAAAATAGAGCATAGTAGCAGTGGTGGTGAAGGCAGGGGCCACAACTGCTGATTGACCAGCAGCCCCAACTGTGGATCTCTGATGGTATATTGCCATCCTGGTTTGCCAGTTAACAGACACATGCCTACAAGGTGGGAAAGTAGCCACTTCCATCTCCATTTTGCAATGCCTGCCATTAATGCTAAAGAGATCCTTGTCACTACTGCACAGCAGTGTCTGCTTACATCTCGTTCACCTGCCTAACTTCACACCAACCATCTACATATTTACTTGGGAGTAATTCCTTTGTATTTTAACTGGTCTTAACACCAAATAGCTGTGCCTCATGCTCCTGCTAATGATGGGAAACCAATAAAGAAGAACAGATAGAAGTTCAAGTTGCCATAGAGGTGTTTCATATTATGATTGTGCACAGAGGTTGGAAAAGTTACTTTTAGGGACTACAACTGAGTTATGGGAGCAGAAGTACAAAAAATTTTTCCCCAAATTCTGGTGCCTGTAAACTTGAAGCATTGAGAAGGACAGCAGAATTTTTGTTGTGACTTGCCCATAACATGGCCTTCCAGAATTTCACTCTGCCCCAATCAACAGAGAAATTAGCAAGAACCCAAATTACAACAGGAGGTAAATCAACATTGCTCCTTTTCATTTTCCTAGTTGCCAGTACCCAGTCACTACCACCCCCTTTAATTTTTTTTTAATGTATGCTCCCACCAATTCTTGTAGATGATTCCTAAGAACACTAGAACAGGATTTAACAATATTTCAGACGATGAGATTTATGTATCTTATTTAAGGACTATCATCATGATGAATATCTAAGCATATTACGTAGGATGCTGCAAGAGGAATTTTGTGAACAGTATAGATTTTTTCAGCAACTAGTACACTTAGATGTTCTCCCATCTCCCTCAGCTGACATCCTAAAACTGTCACACTGGAACAGTTGGGATTCAAATATCAAGGAAGAGAGGTTCTAAAAATGCCCACTGAGTGCCTGGATGAAATAGAAAATATGCAAACACAGGTACAGAGAACTATAAGATTGTCAGCAAACAGTGCTCCAATATTTTCTAAATCCATGTTAACCACAAATCTTTGGAATAAAAGTTAGATCTCTTCTTTCCTTCGTTCTTTAATGCTAACATTCATGGCCCTTGTAGAGATGGTGTGATTTTGGTCCATTTCTCATTCCATCCTTAAGGTTTAGACCTTGAACTGCCCACATCAATGGCGACGGAGAGTCATAGTATGCCCAGGAACTCTGATCCAAAAAAGAGAGCGTGTATTGTTTGAACATCTGGTAGCCTGGTGAAAACAAAGATGGAAAGAAAGCCCAATAGGCCAAGTGCTAAGAATCCCTGTGTCTGTACTTACATTATACAGTTTTTAAAGATATTCTGTATATAGTATATATAAAAAAATTGTAAGGTTTTTGCATCCTAAACATAAATTAGGAAATTATTGAACAGTCAGCAAGTCAAAGAACAGTCAAAAGGAGGGCAGTGAGCTAGTTTCGTGAGTGGAAGAGCAGCAACCAAGGGAAATATATATGCCGTTTCATTTCTTGGCACACCTTGCAGGAATGGTTCCATGTAATTAGTTATGTACAACCATTCCCAATGACTAAGCTCTCCACCTGCATGATAGAGGGTTCAAAAAGGCAGTCTTTGGAGTCAGTGCCAGTTCCCACTAGCTAGAAACAGACATTATGTATAGAGAGAAGTGTGTGTGTGTGTTTGTGTGTGCATGTCTGTGCGTAAAGTAGAGAGAAATTAATCCACTTTGAAATCAAACTATAGCCATCAAATTATCTACAAGATTCAAAGGTGAGCCTGATGCCTCCATTGATTACTACATGGTACAACTGTTGGTCAATGTAGACCCATGCATTTTTTTTTGTTTAAACTGATCACTTAGATGGAAACCAGTGCTCACCCAAAATGCCAATTCCTTTTACCCCATCAAAACTGTTAGAGGAAAGGGAAAGTTTTATCACCTAGATAAAGGGGAAAATGAACCTCAGTGAAGTAGGTGTTTTCTTTAGAATAGAATGCTGTACAGATTCATTTCAGCTTGGAAGGGGTTCTCACTTTTCCACTCATGAGGATTGTATATCTACAAATTTGCCCAACCCCAAAACACTAAATTTTGCAGGTGCCAGACACACAGTTAAGTTACTGGACAGGGGATTTGTTAAAAGAGCTAGCAAGAAACAAGGAACTTGAGTTGCCAACTCATCAATACAAGTCGCAACAAACATGCCCCTGCCCCATGGTACAGATGGAAAACCTGAAGTCATGCCTGAGTGACAAAATCCGACAGATATCCAGGTGCATACATGAGTTCTGAGGAACATGGAGGAAAAATTTCAAAGCTTCCAAACAAGCTTTCTTTCAAGTTTTCATTAGGCAATTAAATAGGAAGTCTAAGCTATGGCAATATGGTAGTGCCTCCAAAGGTATGCTGTGGTGTTGCTCAGAGATTTCGCTGGCCAGCCACGGTGAAATCATATCAGCAGATTTCATAGTCCTCTACTGCACATGATGTGCAATAACCAAATATCAAAAATTAAGAGAGGGGTGAAGAAAATAATATAAACTATATATTCTCGATGAAGTTTACATCAATTCAAGCAAGAAAGGTGGTAGGCGTGTCCTAGGTGTCACTGCACAGTCTACTGCCAATTAAGGCCATTGGTATTGACTTAAACGGATCCTGATGGGTCAATTCAATGAAGAAACAGAGCCAGAGCACATCAGAGTTTTCTTGAGGAGTCTTGATACATTGTTGTACATAAAGGAGTCTCAAAAAACAGAAACAGAAAGGAACCAAGAGACTAATGTTTTGGCTACCACACTGGGATTTGGTTTTTCTAGGTCATTAGTTTCCCTTCCAAAATCTATTTTAAAAAGAAAAGTTAGTGCTACAAATATGCAACTCCAAAATCATGTGTCCTTCCCTCCCCCAAACTAGATCCTTCCATCATCAAGTTGCACTGTGAAGCAAGTTACATATGCCCCTCTGATTACTGTTCACGTGTACAGAATCCTCTTCTATCTGCTTTTGTTTCCATTGGCAATGAACTGGGAACAAAAAACTGAGAATCCTGAAGTGTCATAAGCAATGCTGCGTTTCACTGACTCCTCCTGCAATCTTTTCTTCCTCTGTGTCTTCTGCCCTCCAGACGGGCAAGCTGTTGAGACAGGCAAATCTAATTAAGTATAGTTAGGTGCATGACAGCTTTTAGTGCATGTTTTGTGTACAGAGGTTTACATGTGATCAAGTTCTCTTCTCCTGAAAGGCGGCAAGAGACAGACAATCTTGTTCTGCCCTTTTCTCCATGACGCTTAGAGGTCTGATTGCATCTGGGCCACACTGAATAAGCTTGTTATTTAGATGTGCCTCTTCATATGGAGAGCAAGGTGATCAGACCTTGAAAAACACCTGCAAAAATAAGGTACAAAAGTGAAATCAGGATTGGAAGGCACAAAAACTTTCAGACTGTATGGTGAGTGCAAGAACATCAGCAAGATACAGAAGTCTGCTTACACCTGCCTTCCCTCAAAGCAGAAATTACAAGGCATCTCTTACATGTTCAGCACTGTAGGTAAAAAAACACACCAATGGCTGTAGTTTGCAATTTCAATTCTGTTGTATCTGCTGCATTCTAGACGATAATTATGTTTTAGCTCTCATAAGTTATGGAAAATTCCTTAATTAATAGGATGAAGGAGGCAACAATGTAAGTTTGAAATGTATGTAGACAGAGGTCTTTCAGGACAAAGGAAGCGCCTTTCATGTACTTTTCAGCTCTAACTTCTGACATTTTAGAGATTAATGCACTGGAGGAAGCACACTTTATTCATCCAACTAGTTGGAATCCTGGATACTTGTGTATTCCAGGAAGGGGCACTGCATTGCCTTCTTTGGTGAGAGACAGCAAAGCATTATTACAACCAATGGGCTGCAATTCAGAAAGCTCTCTGTAGCTACAGTTTTCTGCTAGCAGCAGCAGCATACCAAATAAGTCCTGGCATCACAACCCATCCAGTCTATAAAACTTGACCAAGCAACACAGTCTTGCAATTAGCAATGCCACAGTAAACAGCACTGCTGAATGGGTGCCATGAAGACAAGCTCTAACTGGCATTTTAAAATTTCAGCTTCATCACAAATCAGCCCACAAAAGGCTGTAGATACAGAGATAGCTATATAAATATATATGTGTGTGTGTATGAGAAGAGCCAGCCTGTGTGGCCTTGGGCAAACTATATGGTTCCAGGGTGACCCAAATGAAAGGGAAGGGTATTTTATACCCAGGAAACTCCGAAAAAGAGTTGACGTAAGTCAGAATTGACTTGACAAAATGTAATTATTATTATTATATGGATACATACATATTTACATATGTCTTATGTACCATCAAGTCAGAACTGACCTACAGTGACCTTAATAGTGCTTTTAAGGAATGGTACTTAAGGAACAGCATGGATCTGCAGGGTTTTGAACCCAGGTCTCCTGAGCGCTATTCCATCATGCTATCCACTACACCAGTGGTTCTGAAAAGAGCCAGCCTGTGTGGCCTTGGGCAAACTATATGGTTCCAGGGTGACCCAAATGAAAGGGAAGGGTAAACCATTTCTGAGTATTTTATACCCAGGAAGCTCCGAAAAAGAGTTGATGTAAGTCAGAATTGACTTGACAATATGTAATTATAATTACTATATATATACATACATATTTACATATGTCTTATGTACCGTCAAGTCAGAACTGACCTACAGTGACCTTAATAGGGCTTTTAAGGAATGGTACTTAAGGAACAGCATGGATCTGCAGGGATTTGAACCCAGGTCTCCTGAGCGCTATTCCATCATGCTATCCACTACACCAGTGGTTCTGAAACTCAGATTCCCAGATGTTCTTGGACTATAGCTCCCATAAGTCCTGGCCAGTACAGCAAGTGGTGAAGGCTTCTGGGAACTGCAGTCCAAGAACATCTGGAGACCTCAGTTTGAGAAATACAGTACTACACTATACATATGCATACCATGCCAGCCAGAGCAAAGCAATGTGAAAATAACTAGGTATTTCTAATGAGTAATTGCCTATTAAAAGTGAAACTGAAAAAGATGCAAATTTAGCAACATTAAAAGATGACATGCAGCTATTATTTGTCTATGATAAGAGCTGGGAGTACTGTAATAGCTAAGAACCCCGTGTCCATGCATGAAAGCCCCAAATCAATTCTCAGCTTAGCTGTGAACTCACTGCTGTTCTTTGGGAAACTACATGTCTCCAACTCAGATTCCTACACTGACAAGAATATGCAGATCATCTACCAATGATGCAAGAAGTAATATAAGGTGTATGAAGTACCATGAGCTTGTGCAGCTATTGAAATGTTTTTATAACTACTACTACTACTACTACAAAGGATTTCTAAAAAAGAAAGAAGCTGTGATTTAGCTAAATATAAAGGACACCGGTAAGATTGGAGGAATGCTGCGTGAGAAATAAGCTTTCAGGAAAAGATATTTTCACTGAAAAATCTGTTGTGGTGGCAAGTTTAGTTCATCATTCACTTTGATGGGTTCTTTTGGGGTGGGAAGCAAGGGATTATCTTACGTATGGTATGGGATTCATCATCTTCCCCAGCATACAGACAATTTCATTAGAAATACCTAGTTATTGAAATGGTGCCCATGACACTCCAGAGACTATCTTTCATCTCCTCTGGTGGGTCTTCTCTGCCCCCTCTCCTCTTTGCTATGCTGCCTCAAACAACACACTCCATTTGAAGGACATGCCTTGAGACTGGAAGTCAGCACACTTGACTGGGTTACAAGCAAGCGTTAAATGCTATACTTCACTGGAGATATAAACAATAGCTGGAATGAATTGTTTAAAAAAGTTCTAAATAGTTATTTCCTAAAAGTATCTCTATATTGTCTTTTAATTCTAAATGTCCAGGTTAGCTGCAACAGTACAATGAAACAACTTATACTAGTGTTACAAATAGTTACAGCAGAAATTATTTATTTATATTATACACATACAAGGGGAGTGGCGTATAAAGCCTGCAAAAGGTATTCACATGGTGTTTAAGGCCATAATGTAGGTGCCAGGACAGCCTCTTTTGGGAGAGAATTCCATAAGTGGTGTGCTACAATCAAAAAAGCTCTGGCTATATTAAGTTGGATATAAGTGAGGGCACTCATGACCAGCACAGGGGGCACCCCCCCCCAAATCTTGGAGTGAAGCACCAATTATCCCAGTCCATAAGATACCCCTGACTGCCAGGTACACACTTGTGATCTGTAACAAGACTAATGTTTCTGCATGATCAAAACCTGTCATCATAAATCATCATCAACAACATACAGTACTGTCATTAAATGTGTATCAAACAATGTCAGATTGGTTGGTGGATGCATATGAGTAACCTCACTGCAGAAATTTGCTATAATTAGCAGAAACTCACTATTTTTCATTCTAACTCTTGCCTTGTTCTAAGAAACTTATATTGGTGTTTTAACTCCTCAGTAAATCTATACAGTTGGCCAAGTTTCCTATAGACAAACAAATAAAACTGATCTACTAATCTTATAGCGACTCCATAGTTATCTTCACAGTTTGGAAGAGTCAAGACCAAAAGCTGGTTCCATCCCAAAAGACAGAAATGTAGTGAAAAACGGAAGTGTAATGGTAAGGGTCGAAATGATCAGAAAGTTTAATTCTCGTAAGGACTCTGTGCTCATCCTTATGAGAATTAAACTTCTGCTTATCAATGTTGAATGGGCAGGAAAAGCTTAAAAAAAAGCTATCGCAAGTCATCTTGCAAATATAAAGTGAAACAGAACTTTTATCAGCTAGGTTGTCAGTGTAGGAAAACATCCTTATTCAGTTAATCACAGACTTATTTTCTCTCACAAATGAGAGCTTAAAAGAGATTATGCTGCACACTCTTGAGAATATGGAAGGAAGAACAAGAGTAATGAAAGCAAATGTTACAATCAAAGCTGGCACAATTAAATAAAGAAAACCATCATTCAGCCAATTTGAATAAAGTAGGTTTCTGGATAAGCAGTAAGACTCTCATTCCCTCAGATAATCTAACATGGGGGGGAAATGACAGAATATATCTGATAGGAAATAGATGGTTATTAATGTGGCAAAGTTTATCTCTACATCCTCCCTCTGCAGTTGCAGTGTTTATTTTATCTGTCTGTTCAGTCAAGATATAGCTCCTTATGAGGACTAGCAAGGAAACCACCAAGGTTATAAGTTCCCCTCCACTTGCATTGAGCAGCAATATGCCTCCATATCTACATGCTGGATCCCTAGGGCCCCTTTGCTGTTAACTACAATTTGACTTCCTTATTTTTAATCTCTGGAGCACTCAGAAGTGTATGCATGGTTATCTTCTCCTATTTTATCCTCACGATAATCCTGTGAGGAAAGCTGAGAAAGAGAACGAGGACAAGCATACACTTCGTTTGTCCTGGACCACCGTGCAAGTTTTGTGGATGAGCGGAGATTTGACATCACTCTGACTGCTGTACCAATAATGTTGGAGGGATGTCAAGGCATAACAAAAGGCAGGGCAAGAAAAGGAATCAATAGGCAGAAAGAAGTGGGTCTCCCAACTCACTCACAAGTATTTGGAAGGCACAAGAGTAAAAGAACCCCATGCCAAAGCCAACTCTCCTCCTGTGTACTTTTGGAGGCCATCCCAAATTCTGTGGGAAAATGGTGCAGGAGCATGTGCAGGAGTGACCCAAGCAAGATCCTCCCATATTTCAGGCTGACCACTTCAAGAGGCACTTTATGCCCAGATACACACTTTGTACTCTCTCTCTCTCTCTCTCTCTCTCTGTGTGTGTGTGTGTGTGTTCAGTTGACTGCAAAACAATGCAAAATAAATTTCTTTTATTTATATATGTATTCATGTATTTTATGATGTAAGCCGCCTAGAGTGGTTGTAACTTTACTAGATAGGCGGGATATAAATAGAATAAATAAATAAATATAAATAAACAACAAAAAATTAAAATCCAGGGTAAGTGTGAACTGCAATACTGAAAATACTGAAATGAAGTGAACTGCTTCAGCCTTCAGTCAGAAACGTGTCTGGCTTCTTCTTAAAAGGTAAAAACGACAAGAAAGCAGCAGCCTCACTCTTAAGAAGATGATTTCCCTAGATGCTTGGTACGTGTATGGTTCCAGCCACATCAGTGGAACAACAACTGTCTGAGAACTCTCCCACTGCCCTCAAAGAAAAGAGGACAAGTCTTTCTTTGGTTCACCAAGAAATGCACAAAGGAGGCAAGACTCCAGAAGACCTCTCTTTAGTCTATGTTCTGCCTTGTTCTGAACAAACAAAAGCATCATCTAGCGTCCACAGATAAAAGGCAAAGGAAAGCAGCAGTCCTGGCAAGAGCAGAGGGAGAATCAATGGGTGGGGTGCCCCAGGCAAGCAGGAGGAGAAAAATGTTCCATTTTCTTTCCTGTTAAAGAATGGGTCCCTGTTTATGTCTGGTGCATCCTCTTCCCTGAGCACAAGCCCTAGTGATCTAATGCGCTCAAGAACTTAATAGATCTTTGATTGCATTACGAGCATTTTCTTATTACAGCGGAGGTCTTGAGGCAGCTCTAAAAAGATGGGTAATTTTCTAAAAGCTACTCATAAAGCTACATATATAAATATGATTTTAAAAGGTGGCGCAGCCAGATGTAAGCATATTACTTGATTACTGCCTCAGCAGGACCTGTGCTTTAGACTGGACATGACCAATATCACCAATTAGTTGGTTTACTGCTTGGCAGTGACAGCGCTCTCACGTTTTATTACTGGGAAGTCTTTTCCTCCATACTTACCATCCAAGACGCTACCAAAGCAAAACCTGGAGAAGTTTCTTTTTGAGACTACAACTTTCAGAATTCCCAGCCAGCACGGGGAATTGTGCCCAGAAAAAAAGGCTTTCCAAGTTGTGACTGAGGATCAGATGTAAAGTCCCTTGAGCCAAGCACTTCAATTCCAGATGTCTAAATCTTAGCAGTCAGATTTCAAAACTTAGAAAGAGCTCATAACTTCTTACACGTGTGAGTAGTAAAGGCAGATTCAAATAACATCTGCTGTTTATTTGTAAAAGCAAATGGTGAGAGTGCAGTCAATTCATTACCATTTACCTTTACATAAATTATTAAGAGAAAGCTAGACAGATTATAACCTATTTCCCCTTTTAGGCTGCATTGAACATGGAGAGCTTTACAATCACAACACTCTTGCTCCTAAAGGCAGTTCCCTTCATTTCTGCCTGCATTTTACTGTTCATGTGGAATTTTGTCATATACCGTATTTTTCGCTCCATAAGACGCACCTTTCCACAAGACGCACCAAATTTTTAGGAGAAGAAAACAGGAAAAAAATAATTTGTTTTCTTCTCCTAAAAATTGGTGAGCCTTATGGAGAGGTCCATCTTATGTAACATACCCTAAGACCCTTTGGAGGTTCACCCTGCCCCCCGGGGGTCAGAGGGGGCGACATCGCCAGTTTCTGGGACTCTGCTGAAGCTTCCCAAGCCTCAAAAGAGTCTGAGAAGCTGGTGATACCCCCCTCTGGCCCAGTGGGGGGGCAGGGTGAGTCTCTAAAGGGTCCTAGGGTGTGTTCCAGGACCCTTTAGAGACTCACCCTGCCCCCCTCAGGGGTCAGAGGGGGCAAAATCACCACCTTCTGGGACTCTTCAGAGGCTTCCCAAGCCTCAAGACTCCCCAAAACTGGCAATTTTGCCAGTGCTGGCCCCATGCAGGGGTGGGAGGAGCATGCCAAGGATCCTGAGAGGCTCCCTCGGACCCTTGCCACGCTCCCTCCCACCCCCCCACGGGGCCAGGGGGGGCACCTTCTGTGCCTCTTCAGAGGCTTCCCAAGCCTCCAAACACTCCCAGAAACTGGCGATTTCACTGGGCTGGCCCTGTCCGGGGGTGAGAGGAGCGTCGCAAGGGTCTGAGTGAGCTTTCAAGGACCCTTGGGACGCTCCCCCCACCTGGAAGCTGGTGATTTCACCGGCGCTGGTCCCGTGGGGGGTGGGGGAGCCTTGCAAGGGTCCTGGAAGGCTCACCCGGACCCTTGCGACGCTCCCCCCCACGGGGCAAGCAGCGACGAAATTGTGCCTTTGTTCCATTAGACGCACGGACTTCCTGCCCCACATTTTGGGAGGGAAAAAGTGCGTCTTATGGAGCAAAAAATACGGTATTTTACGTATGGGTGTTTTTTGATTTAATTACCAGATGGGAGGGTATTTTAGATTCAAACATGCTTTACATTCTTCACGACAATTTATATTACAGGTTTGATTAGAATTTGTAACCAGATTTCTTTCCTGCTTTTTTTTTTTTTTGCTATTGTGAATGCTATGTATAACTGGAGCTAATTACTATTTTAACCTCAGTTTTTGAAATATGGCTTATTTCAGAATATGTGAGGAAGATGCAAATTAAACCACAGAGGCCATTTTATGTTATCTGAATCACCCAATTTAAAAAAAATCCTATCTATTAATATTTTTTTCAGACTCTCCCACTCCTCAGGGCTATACAAGATAAGGTGGGGGGAGCCAAATGTGTTTTTCACAGTTCTGCCCTACTGACATACAAAGTAGAGTGCAGAGATGTAATTTTTAATAATAAAAAAACTTTCTGATAACATAAAAGATATTTGTGGATGATGAGGGAACTGAGGACACACACACACACACAACCATGTCTCCATCTCTTTCAACACCACACTGTTGTTTCATGGACTTGAATTCTTCCTGGCCCTTGCAATGAAAGCATCTTGGGCTGGGATGAAAATCCTCTGAAGTAAGGATGGAATACAGAGCAGAAACAGAGAAGAGAAGGTTCCATTTACTTCACAGCATGTGTTCTGTTGTAAAAGTGGGATCCACACCCTCCTGCTTGAGACATGAATGGCGGGGACAGAACGTGTTTTGTTTTACAGCCTAAGCCTATTCTTATCTATTCAGAAGGAAATCACACAAAACCTGATAGAGCTTTACTCCCTGGGAAGTGGGATTATAGTCCAGGTAACTTTTGGCTCTTATAAAGAAGATCTGCCAAAATCACATTCCACAGCACTTCACCTTCCGCTGAGTGTTGTGTTGTGCTGATGGTGGGATTGAGCACAGTAAGATTGCTCAGCAATTGCAGAACACATTTCCTTGGCAGTAAATTTCATTCCTCCTCACTTTTACCATTAATTCATCCTTGCCTAGAAGAGCAGCAGTAAGTTTGCATCTGCACTTAAGGGGTTCAGAAAATGGAACGCTTTGCAAATGTACATTATACATTTATACCAATTCAGACCAATTTGGTTTGTAGCCATGTTTGTCTGTTCTGGCTTGCAGCAGCATTTGAAGGTCTCAGTTAGAAGTACTTTGCAACCAGAACAGCCCTAGATTCTTTTAACAGGAGGGACAGAACCTGAAACCTTAATTGCTTACTAATCAGCAGGTAGCTTGGTTTTCCCACTAGGCATCTGTCTAAGGAAATGGAGTCCAACTTGAACCATTTGGAGATAGTGCCTTATAATTGCAAGGCAGGCTCTAAAACTGAAAGGGAAAACTGTAGCACCTCCCCAAAAGGGGCAAGCTGCCTACTGAATGATTGAAGGGCTCCTCTTAAATCAAGAGGCAGAATAAAAGTTAATAATAATGGATCTTTGTTACCTGTCACAATGGTTGCACTTAAAGGGCTTTGCCCCCGTGTGTTTCCTGTAGTGCCGTGTGAGTTCATCACTTCGTGCAAAACGCCATTCACACCCTTCCCACGAACACTTGTAAGGCTTTTCACCTGCAGAAGAGAAGAAAGAGGCCTTGTTAATCTTCAGCAAAAACTGGAGCAGGATACCCACCACTAGCTGCCACCCTCCCTCCCTCCCTTTTTCTTTCTTCCGCTGTCCTTCTCTCCAAAGAGATCCAGAACAACGTGCAACACAAAACCATAATATATCACACGCAACAATAAAATACTTCATATAAATCATGAGATGCAATAAAACTTAGCCACAACATATTCACTTTTAACATATAAAAATGCTAGCCACCTAAGTGGTGGAATGCCAACCTCTGGAGGGACATGATCAGCAGTGATTCAGAGCTACTCCCAAGAACCCAAACAAGGTGGCGAGGCTTCCCTTCTCAAACTCACCCGGGTCCTTCCCACAGCAATGCACTTGATGGCAAAGAGACAAACAGGACTCTAAGCCTAGAGATCGGGGGTATGTTTTATATTCCAACGTGCAGATATGCAACAACATTCCTCAATCGCTAGTGGTTCTCCCACTCCAAAGACTCACTGAGTACATATAGTACATATAAGTATATTTCCTTAATTTGGAAGATTTTTTTCGGGTTACAGAAGTGAGGGGCATTTTGGTATATAAATTTGATTTCAGGTGCTGAGAGTTAGCATGTATCTCTATCTACACCTGTGTGCAGAAAGCATGCATGTGACCAGTACCTTATCGTTAAACAAAAAATTGAAGTGCAATTGCTTTAATGCTTTCAAAATATACATATAGTTTTTTTTTTCATTTTTAGACAATTAATTAAAATCAAGCAGGAATATATGACATTAGAGACTTTCATTTCCAGGTTCTCACATTAAATCCATACACAGATTGATTTATTGCACGCATGAGACAATATGTACATCACCTGACAGCTTGCATGACTAACTGTGACCATTGCATGCTCTTATAAAGTGTGCAACTGCGTTCAATCAGGAATTACATATTTTAAAGTGCCATTTCAGTACACTGATTATTTCACAGACTTTCCTTTATGAAATGAGAATCTCACTGTCTCCCCCACCCCCACATGCTACCCTTCACCACCCCGTGGCACCAAGTGCCTCAGTTCCTTAGAACCATCCACTGCTGCCCAGCATGCAAAAAGGCACACGTGACTAACAGAAGGGAGGATGAGCGGGAAGTGTGAATTCACAGATGACCACTCAAAGGACCACTGTTACAGGTAATTAAGCTCTTTTTCTTCTTCATGGTCTCTTTGAATGAGTGACTAGCAAGCTGACTTACCCGGAGGAGGGACCTCACGAGAGCACAGAGGCCAGAACAGCATGACCCACAGAGGCTTCAGCCATGGCCCGGACGTCCAGTCGATAATGGGTTGCAAAGGTTGACAGTGTAGCCCATGTGGCTGCCTTGCAGATGTCAGACAGGTCCACCCCTTCTTAAGGAATCCTGTAGAGGAGGCCACAGCCCTCGCCGAGTGGGCCCTCAAGGTGTGTGGTAAAGGCATCTGGGCAAGATTGTACGCCAGTCGAATAGCTGAAAGGATCCATCTAGAGACTGTCTGTGACGTGACTGCCGATTCCCTGGAATGACCTTGATAGCTGACAAACAGCCTCTTTGAAGTGCAGAAGGACAAGGAGTGAGATACGTAGTAGGAGAGTGCCCGCCTGACATCCACGGAGTGCAAAGAACATTCAAGACGTGAAGCCGGTGCAGGGGAAAATGTACACTAGGCTGGCTTAAATGAAAATAAGTGGCCACCTCGGGCACAAAGGAAAAGTCCAGATAGAGTGTCACCTTGTCCGGGTGGAACTGAAGGAAAGGAGGGCCCACCCTAAGAGCAGGCGGTTCTTCTGCCTGTCGTGCAGAGGTCATGGCAAGGAGGAAGGCAGTCTTCAGAGTCAGAATGAGCAGCCTTTTAGATGCCATAGCCAGGGGTTCAACAGAAGCCTCATGAGGTGATTAAGCACGAGCTGAAGGGATCACTGTGGGGTAGGAGGTTTGTAAGCCGGATGCATGTTTCTCAAGCCATGTAAGAATTGCTTGAGAGTGGGATGGCGGAAGAAAGCTGCTGCTTCTGAAGAGTGCAGCTGAAGAGCCACTATTGCCACCATGTAAACTTTCAATGTGGAATGAGAAAGGCCACAATGGAAAAGATGGAGGATGAACTGGAGGACCGCATTGAGAGAGGTTGGCTGTACAGGTAAGTGGCGTGAGGATGCAAATGCACGAAAGAGTTTCCATTTGTAGGAGTACGTCAATGTTGTAGAGTGTTTCCGCACATGGCTCAAGACGTCGGCTACAGTGGGAGTAGCCTCCACACCGTTAGGTGAAGGGAGTCCAGGTCTGGATGGAATGTCCTGCTGTGGTGCAAGGTCAGTAACTGAGGAATTGCCAGGAGTCGGAGATGCTCCGCTGCCCTCTGGTGCAGAGCGGAGAACCACAGTTGGCGGGGTTACCAAGGGGTGATGAGGATGGTGTCTGCATTGTCCTGGTGGACCCTGATGACTGTTTTCTGAATAAGCGGAATTGATGGAAACATGTACAGCCGGCCAGTGGAGCAGCTGCTCATGAAAGCGTCTCTTCGGGAATGACGGCCAATCCCTGCGCAAGAGCAGTAACGACTGCACTTCTTGTTGTCTACAGAAGCAAACACATCTACTTGTGGTCTGCCCCAACAGTGGCAGAGAAAATGAAAGATCTTGTCATCGATAGCCCACTCGCGGCTGCAAGACTGGAGCCTGCTCAGATGGTCCGCTAGGGCATTTCCCTCGGATGCCACATTGAGGGAGAGGTACCACGCCTGTAGGGATCTCATTTTCAGGCGACCACACTGGACCACAGCTGTGGTAGATGCCATGAAACCCAACAGATGCTGAGTCTGGTGGGCCAATACTAAAGCTCCCAGGAGGAAAGACTTCAAAATGAGCTGGATTTTTGCTATCCTGTCTTCTGGCAGGTAGGCTTGGCCTAGGGAGGAGTTGAGCACCGCTCCAATGTAAGACACCCGTTGAGTAGGCTGTAGGGTGGACTTCTCCAGATTGACTTGGAGACCTAGGGCTGATAAAAGAGAGTCAATGTCGTGTCTTGCTCGGCCTGGGCACGAGACGGCGCCACCAGTAGCCAATTGTCCAGGTAAGGGAACACCGTGATGCCTTGCAAACGGAGATGTGCTGCCACCGGGGCTAAGCATTTCATGAACACTCAAGGGGCGACTGACAATCCGAAGGTCATTCCTTTGATAGAGAATCTGAGAGAGCAGCAATGATCTGGCCGGATGCTGATGTGAAAGTAGGCGTACTTGAGGTCTATGACTGTGAACTAATTGTTCCGCCTGAGCATCTGGATGGTACCCTCGAGGGAGATCATACGGAATCGCCAAGGAGTGATAGAAGAATTGACGTGATGGAGGTCTAAGATGGGGCGTAGGCCCCCATCTGTCTTCGGGATCATGAAGTACCGGAAACGGAAGCTGAGTGTTACATCTAGGTTGTGAACCTGTATGATGGCATCTTTCTGAAGTAAAGAGCAAGTTTCGTCCTCCAACGGAGGAGAGGGATTGGTGGTCTTGAGTAATCTCTTCACGGGAAGAGCATCAAACTCAATGACATAGCCCCTGGCTATGATGGTGAGGACCAGGAGTCCAACGTGATGCTCTGCCAGAGGTTGAAGAACGGAGAGAGGCGAATAGGAGGGTTGGCTGCTGGTGGATGGGTCACATCAAAAGTTCTGTCTGGTCTTGTGGTGTGGGCAATGTGCCTGTTGACGGCACTGTCTGCCCGCCTGTTGGTGAAAGGGTGCCGGTGGGAACCCTGAGGCCTGATTTTTCTGTCAGTCCTGAGAAGGCCTATAAGGATACGTACGGCGCCAGGCACTCAGAGGATGGTATTACTGTGTGGAGTATGACCTAGCTGTCTTCCTCAAAGGTAAGGTCTTCAATCCTTGACTTCACGGCCTCAGAAATACCTGCAGACCGCAGCCAGGCATGGTGGTGTAGAACCAATAACGCAGTGGCGAAGGCGGCCCGTAGAATCCATATGCTGGCCGATATCTATAGTAGGGCTCAAGCCTATGCGATCTAGAATAGAGATGAGGATCAGACTCAAATTCCTCGGGCTCGAAGAAATGAAGGCATTCATAGTACCGCAACCTCTTAGCCTCATGATATCAATAGCCGTCGTCGGGAGGCATAGGCCGATGCTGGGAAGTCTCAGGCTCGACAGGTGGCTCCAAATGTCAAGTCTTTTCTGTTCTCTTCCTAGGGGCCTCCAACAGGACCGACTCCAGTGGAGACATCAAGGCATGCCGAGAGAACGAGCCTGGATGAGACCAAGGGCTAGCCTGCGCCAACTGAACAATCTAGGTATGTCCCCAGTCAGATGACTGACTAAATTGCGGGTATGGCGCGGCCTCCGGCACTGGGGGCAGAACATCCTCATCCCCCAAAGGTATGCTAAGGCAGAGGCAGTCAACCCCTAGGTCCACGACCTGGTGCTGGTCCATGGGCTTGCAGGAACTGGGCCGCAGATATGGATCTCCACCTCCCCGCAGGTGTGACACACCCCCTGCGAGCGTGACATGCGCGACATGCCCATTGCGCGAGCACCCCCACCCCCCTGCAAATGGAGCTCGCTCCCCTCAGCCAGTCCACATCCCTAAAAAGGTTGGGGACTGCTGTGCTAAGGCACCGATTCCCGCCGGGATCTATCAACGGCCAGCGGCAAGAGCATGGTATTTTCTGCTGTGTGGCTTCTGTGTGGCTGCAGGCTTCTCCTTTTTTGTAGACATCGAAACCGAGGGAGGCTTCGGTGTCGATATTGTAGCCATCAACCTCAACACCGAGGAGGATGCATGGGGCTTCGATGCCATCTTAGGTCCTTTTGGGACCTTAGGAGGAGGTGAAGAGCCTGAGGTTCGAGAACACTCTGAAGCTTGGGCAGATTCCATTGGGGCACCTAGAGATGGAGACAGGGACCTTCCCCACAAAAAGGAATGCAGACGACGAAGTCTCAACTTAAGAGCCGGCTTCATAAAGTTC